TAGCGGTTCACTGTCGTGGTTGGGTGGGCGATAGATGCAACATAATAACAGCGTTTGCTGTTTATTTATGCAGTGTCACCCATGATGTATCGCATATATTCAGGTTGGGGTCATCATAGTGTACAGTTCTGCAGTCAGCTTTAACGTAGATAATGCATCTTCCACTCCACCCAACTGATCTGTTCTTTTTGAAAAATGAGTAACCTTCGCAGTGAAAGAAATCATCGCTTATTTCACTTGTGCACCAAGCTTCAGTGATCATTACTGCTGTAGATTGGCTAATCAACAAGAGGAATTGGATGTATGTCATCCTATATACAGCTGACCTGGCATTACTAAGAACTATGCTAGGATTAGCTGGGTCATACCTTAAGATTTTAGCCACGTCTTGAAGTAGCTGGTGGTGAATTTTAATCATACTGTTCTCAGATGACAATGAAATGTCTGTATCTGTAAAAGCGCTAGGAGAGCCAGAAATGCAGGACGGACAGTGATGTTTTCCAGTTTCTGTAAGTGTGGGCGTAAAGAAGATTGACCGTCAGAGAAAAAGGAGATAGAGGGTTGTTGATGAAGAAGAGAGTTACCTGTGTCGCGTAAAGCGAGTTCCATGTAGTGTGGTGAGAGCTGGCTGCTAGTCAAATTAGTAGATGGTAATTTACGTCAATGTTTACGTCCTCAATATTGGTCGTGAGAAAAATATGAACAAAGACTGATTCAACATGTAATGTAAATAATACTTATTCAAGCCTGTACAACTGGTGTGTCCTACATAGTTAGCATATAGATGGTCTGACATTCAAGAAACGGCCACAAAGAGATGAAAGATTAACTTGCAGTGAGAAGCAACCAATCAGAAGACTGTGTATTTCTGCCAGCAATTATCTATAATAATGTACATGAAAATCTATAATAAACGATCTGTTGCCTGGGCCTGTTGTTACAATAGTAATCGGGCATTGCTGTATCAGCTGGCCTATCTAAATCGGGGGCCAATACCTGTTGAGAGTGGTGAGCGTTTGTAACAATGGTGGCCACATTGTGAACCTGAATTAAATGGTAATGTCGTTTCTATAGTTTGGTTTGTAAGGATTAGTTTTGATTTACGAGTTGATCACGGACCGATATCAGTTAGAGAACCATTGAAAACAGCGGCTGTCCAGTACTCCCTGGTTTTCAATGGTTCTCTAACTGATATCGGTCCGTGATCAACTCGTAAATGTCGTTTCAGCAAAACTGCTGATCTCTGGGCGGACAGACCCGTTGGGTGTGGACATGTAATTTGGTGGAGGTGGCCTACCAAACAAGCTAAACTGGTACGAATAATTGCGCCCAACGTTACCACCGTTCGCAGGGCTATGGTAAAAGTGTCTCACTCCTTTCATTTATGACGGTACGAGAGCCCACTTTTTTGGACGGGTCGCTACGAAGTTCAAGTTCTATTATACGGGTTTTATACCTCTCGGCTTTGTGAATATTTGTCACTAAAGAGAGCTGTGATATCAAGCTGTGATCATCAGAATTACCGTGCATCATTGGTATCTTATTCTGCATTGAGTTTACGAACGAACTAGTAGCCACATTCTCCAACTTCATGGAGCTGAGACTACTTGGATTGCCGAAAACGAGGCGTGATGTACTGCAGTGTGTCACTAAGGTACAGGGATTGTCAACAGAGGACTCTGGGCTTATAGTCGATTTCTTTTTTAGTGAACGGCTATATAGCGAACTATTTTTGGACCCTACATTTTCAAGAAATTTCGTTTCCATATATGATAAACTTTGTGTAGGCAGATCCATACCCTTTTGTTCTGCCTCAGTAGAAGTGTGGGTGCTCAGAGGTGTTGTGGAGGAGCTGGAACTCATGGTTTTAAAATCAGTCAAAGAAGTCATTCTTCAGATCGACGTTTTGTCACGGGCTGACTTAATCATATAGAAACGCGTATTTCTCAGTAATGTTTACCCACTGTAAAAAGTGTCATCATTAGAGGATGAGTTAAATTTCAACATAAATGGACAAGACTTATTTTTCTGAGACTTTCTTGGTCAGTCGCAGCTGCACAAGACATTATTCATAGAGCATACATACAGAAAAGTGCTTTTGAGCTTGTTGATCTATGAATCATCTGGTATGTTATACACAGTCGTGTTCTCACACAATACGTTGATGTACTTCAGTTGCAACTTAGTTTATCAGGCTTGCGGTTCGTGGTAACATTTTAGGGGAAGTAATACTACCGCCATTGTGACTAGGCATTGTCAGTTTTGATATCTTCCCTTCCAGTTCCTTAATAATGAAAAATAATTCTTCAATTTTATCCGCATAGCTGGGTGTAGAACAAGAAACTGAACTAGTGATGAAAGTCAAATTGTTTACCCTGTGATTCATATTGCAAAGCGCTTTGCAAGTGTCTACACTACCTAGATCGTTATATGTAGTATCACTATGCATATTATTCATGATGCCGTTTACTATGCAAGCAGGTGAGGGTGTGGTGAGAGCTGTCTACTAGCCAAATTTGTAGACAGTAATTTACGTCAATATTTACGTTCCCAAGATTTGTTGTGAGAAACAACCAATCGGAAGACTGTGTTTGTTTGTTTACATATCCATAGTAATGTACATGAAAACATATATAAATATGCGTTGATTTCCTTAATAAATGATCTGTTGCCTGACTCTTGCCTTCTGTCGTTACAAGGGGAGTATGATATCCGAAATTAATGTGTCTGCTGCAACAGACTTGTGCGTAGTTGTTAAATCACTGGAAGTAGTGCTCTCACTTCCTGCAGGCTTATTTATTCTATCTGATTTGTGGTTTTTACTAGGATATGAAGCAGACATCGGAGTCAGACGCTTAGTTTGGACACTGACATTTAGGATAGAGTCTAGATTCTTAACGAGAATTGGCAGTGTCCGTAAGGTCAGCTTAAGAGTGTCGAAGAATCAAACCGTCTAGTTCTGTATTCAATAAGCAGTTTAAGCGGACGAAAATATGGATTTAGAGTTTAAAGATACTTTATACAAATACTATAAATGCAAAGATGCGACAAAAAGCACTTCAGTAGACACATCAACGGATAATTCTAACCAGAAAACTTATGTATTATGAAGGAATAGGACTAAATATTTAGCATGCCAGCTATAAGTGTTGGCTTTAGAGCGACTTGGTATATTATGCAAGAATGTGCTGGTGTTATTGCCCCTGGAGAATCTGGTTTTATTTCTACTATACTTGTAGTTGTTAGTATAATTTTTTGTCTTATTTCATTTCCAGCAGAGATTCTTCTTGCAAATATTTTGTGAATGTAGTGAAATTTTGGTCATGAGTGTTATACTTTGGCATGATTTATTACCGGATTCCTCTCCAACTCTCGCATTATAGCTATGAGAGGGTATTGTCTACTTTCGAGGGGTATTGGTTTCTGTCTTAAGGCTATCCAGAGACATGTCTAGACCCACTATAGAGAGAGGAAGGGATACATTGGCAGAAGAATTGTAATCCACTAGCCTTTCGGTTCGTATCATGTTCGTGTTAGGCTGTCATCTCTGGAAATCGAACACCCCACTTGCATAAAGGCTTCAGATTCCTACACAGAGTCTCTCAACATCGTACAAAGGGACTTCGCATTCGGCATCTGTACAGAGCTAAATCATTGGCTATTCGGGATCTGAAATCGGACCTCTGCATTCAAGCACTATGCACATTCACTCGCCCTACTGTGGCCAGAGTAACGTCCTCACTATAATTTTGCTTCTTTTTATTATGTAAGTTTACTGTTATTATTGTCATTATTATTTTATTATCATTATTATTCCCATCATCCATATTTTATTATCACTCTATTACTGTTTATTAATAACGTTGCGTTATACAGATTTTATATAAAAACACTTTATCATCTGTCCACTAGTTCCTGTCCATTCCAAACAATTATCCTCACTAGTCATTTTCTCACACTTGTTGGATCATGCCCACTTCTGCCTACTTTTCTAATTTCCACTTAGTCACCCCATCTAGACTACACCTTACATTACCTAAGCGTCTTCGGGTAAAAACTTTGCCAGTTTCTGGTCTTATGATTTCTTTGTTAAATATAAATAAGATTGTATAGCTTATGAAAAGGAATCGTCGAAAATTTTTCTTCGCTATTTACGTCTTTTTCTTCAGTTATCTCCGATTTGTAAATCATTAACTGACAATCTTAGCTACTTACATTATTATTTACATTTTTTCGTATATATGTGACTTCACTGTCACCACAAATACGAAATGAGAGCTTCCATCAACAATCCTGTAATGTTATTTTTAGAACTGTTTTTAATGTTACTCTACAAAATTAGATGCACTATTGTACCAAACACCGAAAATGCCACTGTATCAATAGAACTATCTGGGAATATAGCAAATAACTATTACTGACTTACGCCTGAGGTCTCCATTTAGTTCTCATCTCTGTGGGATAAGTTAAACTTCCAAGCTTACCTGAAAGGGGGTGACTAATTCTATAATAAGCTCAACGAAAGGCGGCATATATGATTCCTGGTATGATGGATTTGTAATACGAGAAAGGAATCAACATTCTGAACCATCTTCCACATCATACTACAAAGAAAGAGGAGATATGGTCACTATGCTCGAAATTCCACGAAATTTCCTTTCCATCCCACCAGTAGTGATCATCTCACAAGACCTAGCACAAGCGTTCAAAATCTAAGGGAAACCATAAATTTGCGGAATATGCGTTATCCGGCTAGGCCGTAACTGTCAGAAAAGACTTCAAGAAGAAGTGCTGTCTGCTCCCTCAATCGACTTATTCAAGAAGGAATTAAACAAGCACAGATACTTATTGGAGGAATGATACTACAGAATTAAAGCCTTCTATCCTCAGACGAAATATAAAAATTGACACATGAGTTCGGGTGATGAGGTTTTTGTGTATTGTCTTCATTCATTCCATCTTTAATTGAAATTGAACCATTGGACATATTTGGCCTTTATATTGCCTTTAGGTCACCGGCATTTTGATTCAAAATGTCGTCAGACGCACAAAACTGTAAGTGTATTTTGTAGGTATATTATATTCTGTAGATTCAGGGGATGAGGGAGAAGAGTACAACAGTCCTTATAGAAAAAATGTAAGCTTATGTTTCACTTGTAATAATGTTTATAAAGCCTCCTCGGGTTAGGAAGAAAAGTCGGTATTACGATGACGACTACTATGAGCCTCCAACTAATTACAAGCCTCGTGTACTTCATTCTCCGAGGCCTCAAGTACAAGCAGAGGAAGTACCACAAAAAGTCAGGAAACCCGTAAAAATGGTACGTTGGTAGCATTACAACTATTTGCCTTAGCATAAATCTATGATTGGCCATATGCCATGGCGATCTCAGATGCATCACCCGGAAAGACGACTAGCGCAAACAAATGCTGTTCGCTTACGTAATGTCCTTAAGCTCCCAAAAGCCCACAAATGGGTATTCTATGAATGGTTTTACTCAAATCTGGACAGGTATTGCAATCTATAATATTATTTCTCTAGACCTTTGTTACTAGGTGAGAACGATTTCCGTATCTGCCTCCGTGAAAGTTTCCCAAACGTTAAAACTCGACGATTATCCCGTGCACATTGGTCATTATTACGCCGTTTGATGGGGAAGCCGCGTCGTTGTTCTACTGCATTTTTCGACGAAGAACGTCGTTCGCTAAACGAAAAACGAGAGAAAATACGTACTCTGCAAACCACACGTTCCGTCCAGCTGGAGTTCTTAAGAGATTTACCAGATGATATGCATGTCCCTATGCCTTTAATAATTGGGACTAAAATAACAGCCAGGTAAGTGTACCAGTTTTATTCACTAGCTTTATTTTTGTGACATTGCATCAGTCGACAACTAAGCAAAGTAATGGTTGGCTGGTTTCAGCTTAGGGCTTTGCACAAATGTGCAGCAGTTCGTGTTGCCACACTTCACATAGCACACAAAGCAGGGGAAGAGAGTAAAGAGAGATGATAAACATATATGAGGTAAAAGGAATAGTAATATGGAAGGACAACATAATTTTATTGAATGTAACTGAAGTAATCGTTTGATTTGTTCGTCTCCATTTTAATTTCTTACGGATAAATAAGAATTCATTGTAAATTCTTACCAGAGACATTGCGGTATTTTATTTCGTTAATTGTTTTTTAAGTGATGTACAAGCCATATGTGCCAGTCAAATAATATATACAGAGAAAAGTTCAATATCCGGCTGTTAAACAATATTTTCTCATCATTTAAATTGCAGTTATGTTAATGGAAGGCACCAGCCAAAGTCTTTTATTCCCCTCACGGTCTAATGAATATTTTCGACCAGGCTAACTAGTTTGAATTTTACTATTATATTAAATGAAGTATAATAGAAATGTCATTTTTAAAAATGTCAGAGTAAAATCAGTATTTTTGACGATCATTTGCTTATCATTTGTGTCAGTTTGTAAACCGCTTCAAATTTGTACGTCTTATGGAACTTTGCAATTGGTAGTTAATAATACGTGCAATTTCACAGACTGTATCACTAGCCCTCATACAATATGATTCATCGCCAACTGCATTCTTAGTGGAAAGGCTGGGTTTGCCAAGTCGCCTAGAAAATTAAAATAATTAAAAATGATCAGATCGTTTTCGCGGTAAGGCTTTTCATTTGTATTTCTTCACCTCACCAACAAGCACTGCAAGTGGCCCAACTGTCCTGCTGTTGTTTAATGTTCAGCTTCTCTCTGCATGGGTTATTTATATCAAACTGAGTTGAGACTGCGACTTGCTCCAGTGGAATTTAGGAGAGCTCTGTTTAAAAATGCTTTAGACAGTCGGCTGACATCCTGTAAGCATTTGGGTGGAAAATTCTCCAGTGTTTCTAATTTCAATGACCAATTATCCAGTACCAGGAGTGCTTTTGTATTTGATTCAAAAACTAAGGCTTTAACTTGCACACTAATATTATCCATCATTATTAATGTTATTAGGATTATTACTTTTCAAAAGTTGTCTTACGCGTGCACGTTTCAGCCAACATTATCAAAGTTTGAAACACAACTCGCCTTGGTTTGGACACTATATTAGGTGTACCATGTGTCATCACATAGTTAAGTGTGTCTTATAGTGTTGCACGTAAAGCCGTACCAATTCTCGAGCTTTTAATTAATGACGTTGTGTGTCTTTATACTCGGTGAGTGATCATTCTGCTGTTATGATCCATTTGATCTGAATTGATGACATGTATTTATCGTACGTGGTTTTATTATAATGCACTCTAGTACATAATAACGTGAAGATATTCTTATGAACTGTTGAATTGGTTTCTACTTCTTGTTTATTTAAAAAACCTCATTGAACTGATATGCAGTTAATAGTGTTCTCTGAGCTGGTTGGTTTAGTTGCGGAGCTTTCGTCGTCCTTCTGGACAACATCTTCAGCGCAATATTTAGCGTAAAGTGAAATGATTTAAATTTCTTCATGAGTGATATAATTGCGTCTCCTGGTAACCATCTTTACATATGTATTGACCATTTTCTTTTGACTTGGATTTTAAACTTTCTGGTCACCTGATTTCCTTTTTATTAGTTGGTATATTTCGTCTATATTAACGTGTTTGTTAATTCCATTTTCGTTTGAGTACCAGGCTTCTAGGAATTCCCTGGAACTTTTGATGTTTCCTCTGTCTAAGATTTTGACATTATCCCAATCAAAATGATGTCCATAATCGTCTATATGCATCAATACTAAAGAATATATGTCGTGTCTTTTCACGGCTGATTTGTGTTCTTGAATTTTAATTCGAAGGGGACGCTCACTTTGACCGATGTAATGCTAGTTACAGTTCATACAATTTATTTTGTAAATGGTATTAATTTTATCTTTTTCTGTTGAATCTTTTGGTTTGCATAATATCGAATTAAGCGATTTGACTGGCTTGTGTGCAATATCTATATCAAACGATTTCAGTATTCTAGCTGTTATTTCAGAGATATTTCTCATGTATGGTAGAATGAATTTTCTTGTGGTCTTTGATGATGGTTCCTTGTTGTTGTTTTGATTCGACTTTAAACACTTTTTGATGAAATTTTGTGGATAACCATTCTTTTTGAAGACCGTTTGTAGGTATTTTTCTTCCATTCTTTTCAACTGTGGAGTGCTACAATGTGTTTGAACTCTTTTAAACAATGTCTGCACACAGTTTCGTTTGTGAGTAATTGGATTATTGCTACTATAGTTGAGTATTTGATCTGTGTGCGTTGATTTTCTATATACTTGTGTTCCTAAATTTCTTGTGTCAGTCAATAAAAAGTAAATCAGGTGACCAGAAAGTTTAAAATCCAAGTCAAAAGAAAATGGTCAATACATATGTAAAGATGGTTACCAGGAGACGCAATTATATCACTCATGAAGAAATTTAAATCATTTCACTTTGTGCTAAATATTGCGCTGAAGATGTTGTCCAGAAGGACGACGAAAGCTCCGCAACTAAACCAACCAGCTCAGAGAACACTATTAATTGCAAATCATCCACCTGAGCTACAAATCTTCTCTATTATTTGAACTGATATATTTTATGTCTAGTAATTGCGATTGTGTATCGGTGGTTTACTGGTAGGATACTCTCCAGCCACGAATGTAGTCCGAGCTCGATTCTCGTCAGACATACTTCTAAACTTCATGATGTAAGTTTACTAGCTAATTGTAAACATGGTAAAGAGAGAATGTTGGAAGTGAGGCTAGTAATTCCAACCCGTAAAAACGGCATTTCTGCTGAAGCCTTATGTTCCATTCGGAAGGCAAGGAGTGAAGAAAACAGACAATTGCATTTGATTATGCTTTCCTCTTATCACTGAATCACACTGCACTGAATGTTTGTTTTACTCTGCGGTTAAGATTTTATTTATACAATTATTTCTGTTAACATTCATTTAATTCAAATATATTTAAACATATTTCAGAGTTCGTTATCCAACAGATGGTTTATACACTGGAAAAGTAGACGCTATTGATGCATTACGACATTGCTATCGTGTAACTTTTGACAAACCTGCTCTTGGTACTCGATCCATACCTGATTATGAAGTGTTAAGTATATTACCACAAGAAACTATCCCTCTATCGGCGTATAAAACTCAACATAAAGCTAGTCGTAATCTTTTTATGAGTCCTGCTCGATTATTAGCACAATCTGCTTTACAGGTGAGTTATTGGTCTGTAACATTAAATTTCATCATTGCCTAATTACATTATTTATTACTCACTTGGTTCCCGAGTGAAACATAAGTCTTCAACAATACCTGTCTTTATCATTCTGTGCTTTGTAGTCCTTTTTAATTGTCTCCACGATTACTTATAGGCTTTCATCTTCTCATACGATCTCCTTCATATCACCCTCGGACACACACAAATTTCTTCGTTTCACATTCGGGTCCCACTTGTAGTCAGGCCTGAGGCGTGATTTCACTCAATGGTCTCCTCAGTGTGTGTCCAGTCCATCTGCATTTCCTTCGGCATTTTTGTTGAGCAGTAGGTTCTTGGTCAGTTCATTGCTCCAACTTCTAGTTCCTTATCCTTTCTAGCCAGTCATCTGATCTTCAATATGAAGCTAAGGCAGTTCTCGATAATAGTCTGCAGCCTTGTTGGAAGTGTTTTTGCTAAATCAACAAGTCTTATAACCTAATTTCAACTTAATATATCATGGTATATATGACTCATGTTTGGCTTGTCTATCCTCAAAAATTTCGGTGACATTCATAGTAGATATACATGCGGTTCTATGCTTTTTAAGCATAAGTAGTTCAGGGGTGTTGTGCTCACCAACCACGCATGCGCTTTGGGGTCAGTCGACGCATTCCAAGACCCTGTTCAGTTTATAATCTGGT